ATTTTTAGATTTTTGCTCAAGAGAAAATTCACTATTATGCTCAAGTAAGTTGGGCTTATTAGCCTCTTTTTCTTGTAAAACCATACTTAGATTTTGACATCTTAAATTAATGATTCTAAAATTTTTTACTATTGTATCATACTCCTTTTGCTCTTCATGTTTTCCCTGCAAAAAAGCAAGTTGTTTTGCTCTTTTATAGTCATAATTATATGCTAAAAACTCTTGCTCAAGGGCTCTAATAAGTTTTTCATGCCCTTTTCTCATGCTTTCAGTATTAGTTCTAATGTTCCAAAAGTTATCTAAAAGAACTCTTTGTTTTTCTGCTAATGATTCTTGAGTACGATACTTTAAAGCAGGATTTCTAACTTCTTATACTGAAATTCCATTATAAAAATAAGTATTGACTATTGATCTTGCTTGACTAATCATGCTTAATGGATTACCACCTTGTGATGGTGTACCACTATTTTTGCTGCCAGATGATGATGGTCCAAAATATTGCATGCATGTTAGTGAATAATACGTGATAAGATATCTGCTAAAGTATTATCCATACCTTTAATATGCTCAAATATCAGTCTAAATCCATTTCCTGTAATAGAATCAACAAAATTGACCCATCTTCGGGCTGCTTGTTTATTAGTAATAATTTTATTATAATGTGAAGCAATATTCTGACAATCTATCCTAATAGTAAATATCTCATTATGTAAAAATAATGAAAATGCTTCAAGGGAGTTAATGACTCCTAATATTTCTAAGTCAGTAGCTGGAAGTCTAGCTTGTATATCATTAAATTTTCCTGATGCATATCTACAAACTTTTTCTTCAAATTTTGGTTCTTCCTTATGTTTCTTTTGATATAGTATTCCTGCCCATCCTATTGATGATGCGTCTGTTTCAACTATTTTGTAATTATTATCTAATGGTAATGCTAAAGGTTTAAGCTGAGTTATATCTTGTTTAATGCTTTGAACTAATTTAATATCCTCACTATTAAAATATTTTTGACCTATTTTACTAGTTTTACTATGTAATGCTGCAATCTTTCTTCCTAAATCAGGGATAAAACTTCTAGCATAATTTAATAAACCTAAAAATGCTTGTAATTGCTTTTTATCCTCTAGTTTATC